TCTAAATAATGCCACAGTCTGGCTCATGGAGCAAGTGTGGTTGTATCTTGTGCTGATTTCCATATGACTAGAAATAGCGTGTTGCACAAATGGGGTTTTTTAATGTTGCTAGGACTTATTCTATTTCATTATGATGTTTTATTATAATTTTTGAGCTTCCCTTGTGGCTCAGCTGGTAAAGAATCTGCCTGCAGTGTCGGAGATCTGGGTTCAATCCCTGGGTTGGGAAGATCCCCTGGAGAAAGGAAAAGCTACCCACTCCAGTATTCTGGCCTGGAGAATTTCATGGACTGTATAGTTCATGGGGTCACAAAGGGTTGGACACGACTCAGCAACTTTCACTTTCACTTTCATTATCATTTTGGATCTTTTGTCATGTGTAGTTATTCTTTCACTCATTTTTTTTCCTGATTATTTTTGTGAGACTTAAGGGAAGGAAGGCTCCTGTAACCAGACATGGTAAGAGCATGAGGTAAATGGGGAAAACATGTACTAGTAAACTTTAAAACTTAAGTAAATTTGTTTTGAATAGAAATGATTTTTTAATTGAGAAGAACTCAAACAGTACCCAAATATTTACTATTCACAATGGTAACAAAACTTATTTTTTACATTCATCTATAATTTTTAACCTTGTAATAACTTTTAAACATATTTAGAAATATGAAATTCCCATAGCTATATTCCAGAGAGTATGTTTTTTAATCAAGTCAAATATATAAATTTATTTGTGACAAAGTACCAAACATAATTAACCAAGTATTCTACTTTAAAATTACTGAAAATCAAGCATAATCTTGTACTGCTTTCTTAGGTTAATTTTGAAAGAAAATTGCATGCTGACATATATTGTAGAGAGTTTAAAAACATACAGAGAAGACATCTCAAAAATTGCAGAGTAATAAGAAATCCAGAGTCCATACCAAAAACTGTCAGAATAAACTTTTGCATCACACTGGAATCTAATTTTTAAAAAAACACAAACAAAAAAATAAAAAACACAAACAACTACAGCAATGTTGCCTTAGAAAAAAATGCACAATGTGGGAGGTGTGAGTTAAGTTTTATCTGGGGCAAAATGAGGGCTTCAGCTGGGGAGACAGCATCTCAGATAGCTCTGAGAAACTGCTGCTCCAAGGAGGTGAGGGAGGAGCCAATATATATAGGAGTTTTGCAACAAAGAGCAGGTAGTCAGGAACATCAAAAGACTGCTGTTGGTTAGAGAAACCAGATATGTCAAGTTACAGAATTTAGTGCTTTTCTCTATATGGGAAGATGCAAGAGTCTGGACTCACTGTAATCATTCCTCTGATGTGCACCTCAGCTATCTGGGGCCAGTATCCTGTGTTTTCATATCCTGAGTTTCCTCGGGGCTCAGAGTAGGAAGTGATTGCAGTCTGATGGCTGCTAAATGGAAGGTATTCTTTGCTCCCTGAGTTCCCTCAGGGTTCATCAGCTCACCTTCAGTGGTGGCTACAATTGTTGATGACTGTGACATCCTTTGTTTACTGATATGACAGGAAATATTCCATTTGTTCCATTACCAGGGGAAAACCTGTTGAAGAGAGAAGCTCCTGTGTTGCAGTGTGAGTGCTGTGGTATTTTAAACTGCCAAGGAGTCACCCCCAACACCCCAGATTAACTGCTGAAGGTTGCTAGTACCAGAAGGAGCATTATGGAGTTTATTCTCAGTGAATTGTTGCTCTGGATCTCAACTCATCTGGCAAAATGTTTCTCTTTGTTTTGCCTGATTCAGAGCTTTCCAAAGGAGTAAAGTGGTTTTTGCTAAAAGCATTTAAAGGCTCAGATATTTGCCCTAGCTGCCTAGGGCAAAGGACAAAACTCAGCATAAACAATAAATGTAATGAAAAAACTGGGAGAAAGAGGTTGTGAAAGGAGACACATGGGGGGAATAAGGGCTTTTAAAAGTTCTCTAATATACAGGGGGATCAAGAAAGCCACACATATGCCCAGAATGGGAATGTGCTTTACAGGCCTGAGGAGACTCCAAGCTTTCACCTCCAGATGTCCTTCAGACTCTGAAAGAAAAGAAAGTGTTAGTCACTCAGTTGTGGTCTGACTTTTTGCGACCCCACGGACTGTAGCCCACAAAGCTCCTCTGTCCTTGGGATTCTCCAGGCAAGAATACTGAAGTGGGTTGCCATTTCCTTCTCCAGGGGATCTTCCCAACCCGAGGGTTGAAACCGGGTCTTCCGCACTGCAGGCAGGCTCTTTACCATCTGAGCCACCCAGGGAAAGTCTGAAGTAGGAAGTAAAAACTAAGAGAGTTGTAAATTTCCTGGCTAAACACTGAATGCATTCCCCAGCAAGGACCAATCAGCAAAGACTTGGAAGAGTGTTTCTTCTTTTTTCTTCTTAACTTTTATTGACTCCAGGTATTTATATAAACTGTCCAAACACCAGCTGATCACTAAGTTTAGGCAACACAGACTTCAGTGGATACATATGATAAAGGATGAAGACTTTACAAAAACAGTTTTGAAAAATCTCTAAACAAAAATTCAACTACAAATCACAATGGCCAGCAACAACAAATCCAGGGGAGAGGGAAGAATATGATTCCCAGAGGTATCACAGGTAAGGTATAGTTCAGGCCGAGGCAAAAAAAGAAAGACGACCTCAACAGAAGTAGGTTACCTTTATTCAGGCAAGGAGGGGCAACAGTCAGCCTAACAACCAGACTAAGCACCGAGAGGGATCAGGGAGGCTCCATATTTATAGGGAGGTTTGTGGAAGCGATCAGGGAAACGTTAATCAGGCAGGATGTCTGGGGTATTCTTTAGTTGAGATGGCATTTGTAGTTGGGCAGGGGGTGATAAGTCTTTTGGGCAGGTGTAGGGGGTGGAAGGTTTTTGGACAGGGGGTGACAAGTCCCAGATAGATGCAACCAGCCTGGAGCATCAGGGTGGGATCTAAAGTTCTGTTTTGTCTTCTCCAAAGTTAGATGATTCAGCAAGGGCCTTTGAGACCATTGTTTTCTTTTCTAGGCCCAAGGACTCCTTCATCACATAATAATAGTCAAAATGTCCAGTTTCAACAGGAAACAAATTATGAGACATGCAAATAAAATATGGCTTATTCACAGGAAAAATAAAATTAGTAGAAACTGTCCCCCAGAAGGGCTTCCCAGGTGGTGCTAGCTGTAAAGAACTTGCCTGCCAGTGCAGGTAGACACAAGAGATGTGGGTTCAATCCCTGGGTAGGGAAGATCCCCTGGAGGAGGGCATGGCAACCCACTCCAGTATTCTTGCCTGGAGAATCCCATGAACAGAAGAGCCTTGTGGGCTACAGTTCATGGGGTCACAAAGGGTTAGGCACGACTGAAGCAACTTAGCATGCACATTCCTCAGAAAGCCCAGAGATTGGACTTATTAGGCAAAAACTTTAAATCAACTGTCTTTAATATGATCAAAATGGTAAAGGATAAAGAACTAAAATAAACCAGGAAAATGATGTCACACCAAATAGGGAATATCAATAAACAGGAAAAATAAATAAATAGGAACCAACAGAAATCCTGAAGCTGAAAAGTACAATAGCCGAAATGAAAAATTCAATATCAAGGTTCAACATCAAATGTCAACAGGCAGAAGAAGGAATCAGGAAACTTTAAGATAAGTCTATTACTCAGTCTGAGGAGCAGAAAGAAAAAAGAGAGAGAAGGAAGAAAGATTATTTGAAGAAATGATGGATAGAACTTTTAAAATTCGAGGAAAATCACAAATACACACATCCAAGAAGCTCAACAAACAAAGCAAGATACACTCACCAAGACACAGTACCATCAAATTGTCATAGCCAAGGGGCTTCTCCAGTGGCTTATTGGTAAAGAATCCACCTGCAGCACAGGCGACAAAGGAAACATGGATTCCATCCCTGGGTCAGGAAGATTCCCTGGAGGAGGGCATGGCAACACACTCCAGTATTCATGCCTGGAGAATCCCATGGACAGAAGAGCCTGGAAGGCTATGATCCATAGGGTCACAAAGAGTCAGACACAACTGAAGCAACTTAAGCACATGTTAATGGTATAATGGTTGTAATTAAAAGAGTCCTTGTAGAAGTGCACAAAGTGATATGTCTGGGATTTACTTCAAAGATAATCTCTAAGGGTGGAAAGTGGGTAAGGGGATATAGATTAAATAAGATTGGCCATGAGTTGTCTCGATACATTTTCAGTTGTTGTGTATGCTCAGTGGTGAGTACATTGTATTTCATTATACTGTTCTATATTTGCATATGTTTGAAATTTTCCATAATAAAAGATAAAGTTAATGTAAACTATAAATAGAAGGAATTTTTAATCAAAAATAGGAACAAAACAAAAAAGTGTGAAAATAATTAGAATCAACGCCATCTCCTTGACTCATTTCCTGTTCCCCACTCTCCCCCATGCATTTGCATACAGAGAAAATAAGAAAACGGTGGACAATCATAATGAAGATTGATACCAAGATTGAGACAATGATTGAGACAATCATGAATGAATGAGAATAACAGCTTGGAAGTGAAGTGGGTGGGACACCTTGCTCATCACAGATATTCTTGCATTAATTTTGTTTTTTAGAATAGTGCATTAAAGTGTGATTATCTTCAGTGCTGAGGGGTTTAGCATCCCCTAAAATGCTGCGCCTAAATCCCAGCAGGTGGAGAGGGGTATCCAGAGTGCAGAGGAGGGAAAAGGCAAGTCCTCAGAAGAGAAATGGGAATGGCTATCTGCTCCTGGGAAGATATTGCCCTTAGGTGGCCGGCAAAGAAAGGCCCAGGAACACGTGAAGAAAGGAGGGTTCTGCGGCCGGCTCCTGGACAAGTGTCACAGGGCGGCGGGTGGTGGTGGTGAAGAGTGAGGGACAACGGAAGGTGTGTGTGCACCACCAAAGGCTCTGCAAGGCACCGCTGGCTCTGCGAGACCCCGAGGGGCAGGAAGGGCGGGACGAGGGCGTGGCTTTCCGTGGCGACACAAGCCCCACGTGACCGGCCAGTGCCTAGTCTTGCTTGCACGCCCCGCTTTCGCGTCAGACCCGGCGGTCGCCTCCTTGCCTCTTGGTACCTGCTCCTAGTGGCCCCGAGGGAGCCCGGGCCGGGGACGACCCCTAAGAGGAGGAGAAGCGAGAGGAGCAGGTAAGGGACCCGGAGTGGGGTCCGTAAAGATAGCGCGGGCGAGCGGACGCAGCCTGCGGACCCCTCCTCGGCAGTCCGTTGCCTTGGAGTGCACACTGCAGCTCCAACGCCACCCCGCCCCCGCCCCGACACCCGGGATTTGGCCGCGGAAAGTGGTAGGCCTTCCCGGGGCTGGGGTGGGGGACTGGCCGGGAGGCCTTAAGGCGGCAGGCCCTTGCTAACACCTGCTTCTCGCACCATCGCGAGCTTTTCCCACACCCCTGCCCCGCCCCCGTTCTTCTCGGGTTAGAAAATGTTGGTCGGCGCGGCGTGTGGGGACTGGGAAGGGGGCGGTTGAGCATGGGAGCGGGGCACACTGGGTGGGGGTGGCTGGGGGTAGGGGACGCAGGGCCAGAAAGGAGCCGAGCGCCCGGCTGCAGTATCCACCTGCCCCCACCCCGACCCTCTGTAGGTCTGCGAGTCGGAAGTGTTGTGGCGGCGCACTTGCAGCAAGAATCAGGAGGAGCAGGAGACAGCAAGGATAGGCCCAGGTCGGTGCGAGGGACAGTTGGGGGGGGGGGGGAAGGGGGGGAAAACCCTAAGACTCCAAATGCTCCCTGCAACCCCGTCCTCCATTTTGGTGCCTGCAGAGACCTGGGCCTGGATCGGCAGGAAAAATGGGGGCTTTGGAGCGCGGTAGGGGGTTAATGCTCGGACTGGGGGCTTCCTAGAGGGCATAGGAGGCCTCTCAGGCGGGAAAAGGAAAATTTGAAAAGCCTTTGACCACCAGGACTGGGAATATTGAGAGGTGCGTAGTAGGGCCTCTGTCCTCGGTGCTGATCATTCCACCCAGAAAATAGTCCCTTGTTGCATCTTTTGTCTCCTAGGAGCAATGGCGTCCAAAGAGGAACGAGCAATAGAAAGTTTCAACATGGAAGATGCCCAACAGGAAAACGAAGGAGGGGACCAGGCCCCTTTGAAGACTGGAGAAGAATCACTAGACTTGGGAGGGGGCAAAGTCCAGAAGTCTGGAGGAAATATCTGGCTGGGATGGGTTAGACGACTTGTCCCTAATTTTCGATGGGCTATACCCAACAGGCATATTGATCACAATGAAGTGGGAGATAATGTAGAAAAGTATGTGGGGCAGATGATGGAAATCAAAAGAAAGACTAAGAAGCAGCAGATGAGACATCATGTGCCCTACCAAACTCCTGAACCTGACAATCATTATGAATTTTGCCTTATACCTTGAATGTTAAGAGTTTTCCTGAGGTTAATAATGTGGCCTCTGCTCTACATGCTTGTAGTTTTTGTGAGTTACTTTTTTCTGTAAATCTTTTGGTGTTTCCACTTACCAGTTTCTAACTGAATACTATTTTGTCTCATCGTATAACTTTCTGTCAGGAGGGCAATATCATTCAGTTATAAGAAAAAGTATTCTTTTCATAATATGAAATTAATAAAGCAGTTTTAAAAGCAATCTTCCTCTTACACACCTTGTTTTATTTTTTTTAATGTTCCCTTTTCTCTTCTAGCTCCCTAGACACAAAATATCAATTGTCTTTGGTTATTTTTTGTCCTCAACCAACCAGGAAGGATCATATTCATAATTCAATATCTGATAGGACTTTAAGAATGCATTATTGTTGTTATTTAGTCACTAAATTGTGTCCAACTCTTTGCAATCCCATAAACTGCAGCATGCCAGGCTTCCCTGCCCTTCACTATCTCCCTGAGTTTACTCAAACTCATGTCCATTGAGTCAGTGATGCCATCCAACCATCTCACTCTCTGTTGTCCCCTTCTCCTCCTGCCCTCAATCTTTCTCAACAGGGTCTTTTCCAATGAGCTGGCTCTTTGCATCAGGCGGCCAAAGTATTGGAGCTTCAGCTTCAGCACCAGTCCTTCCAATAAATATTCAGGGTTGATTTTCTTTAGGATTGACTGGTTCGATCTTCTTGCTTATCCTACTGTTTTCAAGGAGTGTGAATCCACTATCTTCGTAAAAATACCTTAGCGGGGGAAGCTCTTTGAGAATGTGGGATCTCTGGTTTCTATCCTTTAGAACAAGAGTGCTACTTAGTTGCTCAGTCATCTGACTGTGCGACCCTATGGACTGCAGCCTGACAGGCTCCTCTGCCCATGAGGATTCTCCAGACAAGAATCCTGGAGTGGGTTGCCATGCCCTCCTCTGGGGGATCTTCCCAACCCAGGGATCAAACCCAGGTCTCCCACATTGCAGGCAGATTCTTTACAAGCTGAGCCACCAAGGAAGCTGTATGTATATTTCATGAACACATATGTGTATCATGTCACATTAAGTATAAACGAAGTAAGTGTAATAACATGATGAATACTTCCTGAATTCACTGGGCAAAAGCATTAAAAAAGAAAAATATAAGACCTTAAAGTAGCCTGATTATAAAAAGGGAAGGGACAATGGCAGATGAGGGTACTGGAGTTGAGATGCCAAGTACCAAGATTACCTTCTGCTGTACATTTTGGTGGAGGGGTCTGACTTGGGGCTTTTTCTGTAGGACATTGTCATCTGGAAATGGAGAATATTTGACTGTTTTAACTGACAATGAGCTGAAGAAGCCAGACTCAGCAAGACTGAGGCTGTTTTTCTGTGTTTTGCTTTTTTGTCTTTCCAATGTAGACTGGTTAATTTTTAGAATAGAGCAGAAAGACATCTCAAATATTCTTCAACCCAGTGTTCTTCATAGTGAGAATTGCTGCAAATTATAGCTCTTGAAATCAGTTTTGTGGGTCACAACAAGCAGTTTTTTAAAAAGAATAGAATAAAAAGCATCTGTTCATCACCCACAAGTAGTGTTAAGAATTATTACTTTGAGAAGCTTGTTTTAGTTTTACATATAAGAAATAATGTCACCTAATAAGATGTATTTCTAACATCTTAAACCAGCCCCTGGGGTCTCTGTAAACTTTCAGCTTCTTTCAGAAGCTGAAAACTCTTGAGTCTTTCACACAAGATACCTTCTCTCTCATTTTCATTTTTGGAAGTTTCCTACATTCATCACAACTTGTCGAGTATAGCATCATGTAAATAACCTATTGAGATCCTTTCTGATAGAGATCTGAAAAGGATGCCGTTAGGCCAACTGTTTCCAAGTGAATGGCAGAATTTCCAGAAGTAAATCAGTCAGGAGAACCAATTTCTGCAGAAAGGTTAGAGAAGCACAGAACCACTGGGGGTGTACGCCTCCAGCACTTCACATCCACTAGCAATTCTATTGTCAAAAAAAAAAAAAAGAAGAAGCAAACAGTAGAAACAGAGAAGTGGAAACATGAGCATGACTCAGTTTGGTGGTGTTAGCTTTAAAGATAGAGGAGAGGGGCTCTGAGCCAAGGAATGTGGGCAGGCTTGAGAGGCTCAAAAAGTAGAGAAATGTATTCTTCTCTGGATTTTCAGTAAGAAATGCAGCCCTGCTGATACCTTGAACAAAAAAAGCAGTACCAAGTGTTGGCAAGGATATGGAGAACTATAACCTTCAAACATTGCTGGTGGAAAAGTGTAATCATGCACTTGCCATGGAAAGCATTGTGGCAATCCTCCTAAAAGTTCTATGTTGAGCTACCATTCAACCTAGCAATTCCACTTGTAGGTATATACTCAAGAGAATTGAAAATGTGTTCACAGAACCTGTACACAAATGTTTATAATAGCATTACAAGCATACCTCAGAGATATTGCAAGTTCAGTTCCAGAATAGCAATAAAGTGAATATCACAATAAAGCAAGTCACAATATGTTTATATTGTACTGCAGTCTATTAAGTGTGCCATAGCATTATGTCTAAAAAAATACATATCTGAATATAAAAATACCTTATCAATAAAAAATACCAAAACAATTACAATAGAAACATCAAAGATCATCAATCATGAATCACTGTAACAAATATAATAACAATAAAAAGTTTGAAATATTGCAAAAATTACCAAGATGTAACACAGAAACACAAAGTGAGCAAATGCTCTTTCAAAAATGTCACCAATAGACTTTTTGCTCAAGACAGGATTACCACAAACTTTCTATTTGTAAAAACCACAATAAAGCAAAGTACAATAAAATGAGGTGTGCCTCTAGGTTTGAGGTATGATTTGTAGTATATAGCAAATCAAAAACTTAGGGGAGACTTCTGATTAAATTTTGCAAATTGACTACAAGGTTTTTTGTCTTCATTTCTTTGTGAAATCTCACAAGAATTAAGTGAAAGTCACTCAGTCATGTCTGACTTTTTGCAACCCCATGGAGTATACAGTCCATGGAATTCTGCAGACCAGAATACTGGAGTGGGTTACCTTTCCCTTCTCCAGGGTATCTTCCAACCCAGGGATTGAACCCAGGTCTCCCACATTGTAGGCAGATTCTTTACCAGCTGAACCACTAGAAAAGCCCAAGTAAATTAATAATCCTTTCTTAACTTTCTACTTTGGAATAATTTTACATCTGCAGAAGAGTTGCAAAGGTAGTAAGGAGAGTTCCTGTATACCTTTCATTTAGATTCCCCTAAGTTAACATATTTCACCTATTAAAATTAAGAAAATAACATTATTTCAGTACTATTAACTAAGCTAGACACATTATACAAATGTTAACAAGTTTCCCCCAAAGTCTTCCCCCGCCCAAGGCTCAGTCCACGATACTGATTGTATTTAGTCATCATGTCTCCTCGTTTTCCTACATTCTCTGAAAGTTCCTTATTATTTTATTTTTTTAATAACCTTAACACCTTTTGAAGAGTACTTGCCAGCTGTTTTGTAGGATGGCCCTCAATTTGGACTTGTCTGATGTTTTCTCATGATAACTGGGATTACTATGAGATTTGGGGAATAAGACCACAGAATTGATAGCTCTTTTTATCATTCATATAAATTATATGATATCAACATGACTTATTGGTGGTGGTGTTTACTTTGATCCCTTAGCTAAGTTTTTCCTCTGTAAATTTCTATTTCTCCATTTCCATACTCTGTTTCTTAGAAATCAGTCATCTAGTCCAGCTCATAGTCAATAGAATGGGGCGGGGGGTGGGGGGCGGTTAAGCTTCACCTCTTGGAGGAAGAAGTACCAAAAAATTTGTGAGTATAAAAATAAACACAATTAAAAAAATAAACACAATTATTAATTAAAATTTGGAGGTGAGGTACTTTGAAGCTATGCAAATATCTTGATTTTCCTTAAAGTTTTGCCCATTAGGCTTAACATTCATCAGTGGGTCTTATCTGCATCAAATTACTACCTTGGTGTTCTAATGGTGATTTTCTATGTCCCTCATATCACCTACATTTATTACTTGGAATTATTCTGTAAGTAAGCCCTACCTTATTTATTTAATCATTCATTTATATCAGTATTGCTGTTGTTGTTTAGTTGCTAAGTCATGTCCGACTCTTTTGTGACCCCATGGACTATAGCCTGCCAGGCTTCTCTACCCATGGGATTTCTCAGGCAAGAATAGTGGAGTGAGTTGCCATTTCCTTCTCCAGGGGATCTTCCTGACCCAGGGATTGAACACACATCTCCTGCATTCTAGGCAGATTCCTTACCACTGAGCTACCTTGATCTTTTTTCTTTGTGATATAATCAAATAGCATCTGATTTTCTCAAATTGATCCAGTTTTGTCCTTTAGAAGCTCTTTGGCTCATGTACCTTTGACGTGTCCAATGTGTTAGGCAGAATTTTAAAGATATTCCCCCTCAAGATTCCTGTCCTTTAGTTATTCAATAAAATACTAATCTTGGTATTGCTGTAAGATTTTTTTTCAGATACAATTTAACACTCAATCAGTTGACTTTAAGAGCGGGAGATGATCCTGGATTATCCTGATCTGCTGAGTAAGATCACATGAGCTGTTAAAGCATAGAACCTTCTCTAGCTGGTGGCAGAAGAGGAAGGCAGAAAAGAAAGAAGAGGATGTCGAGGATATTCAAAGCAAGAAATTGATTCAATTTGTCATTGCTGGGTTTGTAAAATGGAGGTGACCAAGAGTCAAGAAATATAAGGAGTCTCTAGAAGCTGGAAAAAAAAAAAAAAAACCTCAGTAAACAGCCAGGAAGGAAACAGGGACCACAGTCCTCTAACTTCGTGAATTGAATTCAGCCAACAACCTGAATGAGTCCAGCAGTGGATTCTTTCTCAGAACCTTCAGATAGGAGTCCAAGCTTATTGTCACCCTGATTTCAGCATTCTGAGACCTTAAGCAAGGAATCCAGTTGAGCCTGCCTGGATTCCTGTTTTAAGCCACTACTTTTATGGTTATTTGTTACACAGTAAAGGAAAACAAATACATTTGCATATTCTTTACAAAACACTTCTTTACTTTCTAGTACTACAAGACATTCCAGGTTCATCTTGCACTTTCCCTGCCCTGATCCTAGGATCAACTATTTTCTCCAAGGAGTCATGGTTCCTTTTATTAGAAAATGGTTTTTAGAAACCAAGATCTGTGCCC